CTACTTAAGTCACAGACAATTCCATGCAGCTCAACTTGGAAGAGTTGAACCCCTTACTTTTTAGCCCAAACTCTTCCTGACTTCTTGCCGCCTTCGATTCCGAAAACAACCGAGGTTGATTCCAAATGGATATGTACATAAGATGGAAGGAAAACAATAGGCTGTACGTCTATTACGACTATTGTGAAGACACCGCCGGTGCTAAGAAGCGTTTTATACAGGCCCGACACCCCACCCTTAGTCCTCGAGTTAGATGGCAGCCCGACACTCTGGACAGAGGGCAAAATACCAACCTACTCATTCACGATCACTTTGCGCAGGGTCTTAGACGATCAACAGTTCTGGTTTCGCTGGGAATCTTCCATAGATCCCCGTAAGGAAGAATATATTCTAATATCTCACGATCCAGACAGCGGCAACATCGAGAAGGTTGGAATTGAAGATCACTCGAGATATTTACCATTGTTACCAACAATTCATCAGTTCCCTGATGAACCGGCATCATTCTATGTTGAAGAGGCTAAGAATACCTGGGACCGCAGTACAATAAATATGCGAACGAGCTTACCTGAGATCTGGGCTAGGCTTGTAGAACCGGGGCGCACCTATACCCTTCTCTGGACGGGCAAAGAGATTACATACTGGGATTGGGGTACGCCGCAGCAGAAGAAGGAAACCAAAACAAAGTGGCCTCCAATTTTAGTTCCGGGTGGTGCACATCTTACCTTCACTGTGCGAGAAGGGAGGAAACCGCAAATTCCCTCCCCTCCGACACCACCACCAATCAGTCCAAGTGATAGGGTGTAAGCTCTCCAACTCCAATAGAAAGGTATTCAGAAAGATATTCAACGGCTAATATCAAGACAGGCCTGGTGCACCAGTCCTAAGTCTGGAGTTGAGCTGCAGCTCTACAATGTCTGTTTATGGGGATTTGAACATATCCACGCGGGTCATATACCATAGTCCATCATCCGACAATGAGAGCTCTCAACCGATCACTTTCCACACCTGGGCGTTTAACCCGTTCGATGCCTTTCGCGTCTATCGCCGTCTCTGTCCCAATCAGTCTGACCTGAAGACCGAGAACGAATGGGAGAGATTCGAGAACGATCGGTCACCACATGTGTTTTGGGATAACCCTGACAGAGAGCTCAACGTGGCGGAAAGTGAAGAAGGTCGGTTTGTGACGCTCTATCCCGGGGAATCCTGGTCCAATTCTTGGTCTTTCGATCTGCCCGACGACCTTCGGCCTGGCGAGCAGCTCCGATACCAATTCAAAGGAAATACTCTGGACTGGTGGGATTGGGGTACGGCCGAGGATCACGCGCAAAGCATTGTCACGCTACCTGGCTCGGGGATCGAGCCAATTTCGCACCCGAAGGACAATAACAACCGACCTAAAGCGGTCATACCAGCTTCTAATGTTGTGGAGTGGACGATGAGTAGTGACTGAATGGTGTCTCGTTGTCCGGGGACTGTTCCTCACTGCTACGATCCCTAACTACTCCGTAGATTACTGCTATTACAATAACAGGACCCTTGAACCGGTTCACTATCTCGTGACGAGCTTTCGTTCTACTCGCCAAGCCCCATGATATCTTCTATGGGCTTTAGTAGGAGTACTAATAGTTGAATGGAGCACTTTGTAATTTCCGCAGGTGCGCAACTCGACTCCGCCGACGCTGAGCTTCGCGACTATTGGTGCGAGTAAGTAGCCCGCCAATGCACCGCTAGGTCCGCCATAATACCCAGGGAGGAGGCTATGTCTCCGGTAAGTAGGGCGAGAGTCGCCACTCCAGTAGGCCGCATGATCTAAACCTTAGCGCGGTAACTAGAACTTGACTAACGATCTGTTAGGCAGAACACTAGATTGCTCGTAAGATTGCTTAGTGTATTCTTGCTTTCCCTCAAAGCGTCTTCTTGGCATTCAGATCTAGAATTCGGCTCTAGTTTTGGATGGTCTATCCGTTATTTTAGAGTACTGAACATTGAATGAAATTAGGTGCTAAGATGCTGGAATAACAGCAGAGATGGAACAAGGTACTGAAATATAAATTGGAATTGCCTACCGAGACTGAATCCTGAATATTATTCCAGAGAGACAGAGCAGTGCCACTGACCTTCCTTTGCATCCCACGTACTCTCATGCTGGAAATCATGTCTTACTGGTAGCCGGGATCCTCCAAACCATCACTCATCTACAGTCTCGTTTCTACCATTCTTTCTTTTGTTTTCTTTCTTTTTCTCCCTCTCTCTTTTCCGCATTCTGGCCCGAGTGTGATGTTACACTTGTTTAGTTCATGTCTTGCTATGCGGCTGGCATTTCCTCTTGCTCTGGCCTTATGGCTCACCACCTCCCATGTACACGCTGCCGCAATCTTCGCTCATTTCATGGTCATTAAGAGACATACCGGTCCCGATTGTGACATAACTGACCGGACGAGCTCTTTCTATTAGGTCGGAAATGTTCCAACATGGACAGTAGACGATTGGCGGCACGACATCCAACTTGCGCAGGCGGCACATATCGATGCCTTCGCTTTGAATATCGCTAATGGATGGTTTGCCAACGAAGACACACTTGCTGTGGCCTTCGAAGCCGCGGCTACTGATGGCTTTAAGCTCTTCTTTTCTTTTGACTACGCAGGAAATGGCTCATGGGCGGAGGCTGATGTTATTTCCCTGATCAAAAAGTATAAGCTTCATGGAGGGTATTATACCACAGAGAAGAACGGAGCACCCCTCGTGTCCACTTTCGAGGGGCCCGACAGTGCCGCGGATTGGGCCAATATCAGGGATGAGACTGGCTGCTTTTTTGTCCCGGACTGGTCCTCAGTAGGTGCTATCCCGGCATCAGAGGAGGCTGATGGTGTTGTGGACGGACTATTCAGTATGTAGGGCTCCTGGCCTCTTTTGCAAACACACTGACAGGGTCCTGACAGGCTGGGCTTCGTGGCCCTGGGGCAACCTCAACATGATGACGTTCGTGGATGCATCTTATATAGAGACATTGAACAGCAGCTCAAAGCCCTATATGATGCCTGTCTCTCCCTGGTTCTATACTAACATGCCGGGGTACGACGAAAATTGGATGTGGAGAGGAGATGATACTTGGTATCAACGTTGGGTTCAAATCTGGTATCTACAGCCTGAATTTGTCGAAATCATCAGCTGGAATGATTTCGGGGAGTCACATTATATTGGGCCCTTGGATAATCGGTCGTATAGCCCTTTCACCACAGGTAGGGCTCCTTTCAATTACGTTGAGCATATGCCCCAGGACGGATGGCGTGAGCTATTGCCCTTTATGATTGATACCTACAAGAATGGTCGCGCGCTCGTGACTGAAGAGAAGATCGTGATGTGGCACCGCACGTCCTTGGTGGATGACTGTGATCGAGATGATACAACTGCGAACACAGCCTCGCAGTTACAGGCTGAGCTCTTGCCCAATGAGGTAGCCCAGGACCGCCTCTTCTTTACTGCCCTGCTGGCTAGCAATGCAGATGTTGTCGTGGAGTATAATAATCCTAGCAGTACTGTCACAGCGGGCTGGGACTTCCTGCCTCCCGGACCGTAGGGCTTTAGAGGCCCAGGTCTATACCGTGGAAGCGTGTCTTTGAAACATGCAGCAGAAGTGAACCTGAAGATTGTCCGCGACTCAGTTACCAAACTGACTCTGTCGTCGGGTCAGAGTATCTCCGCGGACAATTGTAACTAGGGCAGGATCAACTTTAATGCTTATGTGGCGGCGAGCGAAGCCATTGAAGTTGAACACGTCTATGCAAATTTTAATCTCACTGAGTTGAGTTGCATTGCTGGGTACAGTGCGGATGCGTTCACTGAGCTGTGCGAGTTTACTTGCGCTTGGGGATATGTGAGAAGGACCCCTCTTTTTATCTTCAGGCTTTCCTTTCCTTTCTTGCCATGAGCTGACTTGAATCACTTGCCAGTGTCCTGTAGGCGCTTGTGTGTGTACAAACCTAGGCGTCATCCAGACCGTACCTAACGCCACTGGCCAGGTTGGCTATCCGGCGAATGGCGACGCAAACTACGCCGGGCTCTGCACATTTGCCTGTAACTTGGGATTCTGTCCCTCCAAGTACTGTGCAGCTACTCTCCAAGCCTCATATATCCCCACGGTCTCTCCGTTTACCCCGAACGCTTGCGTGGCAGGAATGGGCGAGGGCAGCTTCGCAGGCTTGTGTAGCTACGCTTGTGCTTTTGGATTCTGCCCTGAGAATCATTGTACATGTACCAAAACTGGGGCGCTGGCTCCATCTCCCGTCGTGGTCAATACCACTGGTGTCTCCTTGATTGGAGATGACTCCGATCTGTGCGATTTCGCCTGCCTGCGTGGCTATTGCCCCGAAGGCGCCTGCGCCCGGGCCGCGGCCTTCTACCCGGATACCTCCTGCAGCGACGCCCAGAAGGCCATGATCCAGACTGAGACAACCACGCCATCACCATCGCCAGCTATGCTGCCGAGAATTTCCAGAATGGAGATTACTATGCCCACTTTTTTGCCGAGAAAGTCCGCACTGCTGACTTTGCCGCGCACGCGAAGGCAGTTTACCAACGCGTGGCGACCGTCCTCGATGGCACGGCTCCTTATGGCCTCAAGCTCACCTGCAATTTTGCACATTCAGAGTGTGATAGAAGTGTTGCTCATACCAAGGACTCGGCGAGAAGCTTGAACTTCTGTGCTGGGTTCTTTGCGAACTCGAATAATCCAGATAGTAACGGAAATGTCATCCTTGCCACCGATGACCGTCTCCAGCACTGCCCTACCTTGAATCTCCGGAAGGCCAACCGCAGCCGCGCTGCTACTATTATCCACGAACTCACCCATACGTCTTTCGTTATGAATGGAGTGAATGGGGGCGAAAAGTATGTATCTGCTATCCTTTCCACCTGCCCTACGCCTCGTTCCCTTACCATGTTTTAGGTCAAAAGACTACGCATATGGAATCCTTGGCTGCACTGAACTGGCCCAAGGCAGACTAGATCGTTCATGTACAGCTTGGTACCGGAGTAAGCCAAGTGTCATCCTCTGTCCTAACACCGACGCGAAGGAGAGTGTATGCGATGCAGATCGAAGTGCATGGAATGCCGAGTCATGGCAAAGCGTCGCGAGCGGCGTCTACTTCAGTGCGCAGTGCCAACGCGCAATTGAAATTAGCAACGACGTCCCAGTAGTGTCGGTTACGAGTGATGAAGACGGAGACATAACCGTGCCGATTTCGACCACCAGGAGAAGAGATACAAACTGCCCCACATACGATGACTACTTCATCTGGGACGAGGATGAACAGCCGGTGAGCGTCAAGGGATATGTACACTTTGGGGATTCCTTCGCGGCTGGCATGGGCACGGGATCGACCTCGTGGGTTGAGTGTCGTGTTGGCTCCAACAATTACGGGAAACTTCTCTACAACTATCTGAATGATTCCAGCATACCTTTTGCGAATTATGCGTGCTCGGGAGACACCACGACCGGACTAGCTAACCAAGTCAAAAAGTGGAAAGACACCTCCTCATTTAATCTCGCCACATTGACATTGGGAGGAAATGACGTGGGATTCAGTGATATTATCCGCAACTGCATAACCTGGGAGTTACCCTGGGGCTATACTGCGATGTTCCAAGCCCGGTGTGAGGAGGTAAAGGACAAGGCTAGGTCCATTCTAAGCGATACGAGCTCATCCGGAATGAGAAACAAGCTCAAGGAAGCTTACCTCAGTATTCTCAGCGCCTCCTTCAATGATGACTTCATGCTCTATGTCACAGGTTATGTCGGTTTCTTCAATTACGACACCACCATCTGTGACCTCTCCACGTTCAACTACTGGTGGCCGTCATATAAGGCTCTTCTCCCAATATCGGATGATGTGGCCTTCCTCAAAACTGCCGTGCGAAAAGAATTGGACGACCTAGTGGACCAGATGAATCAAGTGATCCCGCAAGCAATCAAAGATGCAAACTCGGCATATGGCTCTACTGGCGTGACATACGTCGATATGCAGCCCTCCTTCGACACGCATCGGTTTTGTGAAGAAGGTGTCTATGAACCCAGTCCTAATCGGGGAGAGACGTTTTTCTTCCTCAGTGGGTGGGATGATTATCCACACGAGCACGACGAGCTGGTTCGCACCCCTTCCTCTCCTTTCGCATGATGGACTGATCATAGCAGCTTATATGTATAATTTAGGTCACTGTTGAGGCCGAGACTGCCGCCGTTGAAGCGGCCGAGGTGGTTCAGATGATGTCTTTGGGCAGCATTCCCATCCCCGACGCTGTGACCTGCAACACCACCCTGGGAACCGACCCCGATCCTTATGCTGTGGTGATGTGTGACGCGTCCCTTTCTGTTTCCATGGATCCGAATGGCGAGGTAGCTCAGCGTCTCGCACAGGCCAATGCCGACATTTCCAGTAGGAACTACAGCAGCACCGCTATCAAATGGTGGTTACCGACTCGCCAAATCAAGACCTTCCATCCACGCTCCGACGGGATGTTTGCCTTCCGTGATGCCGTCTGGACCGCAATCGAAGCTAATACCTAAACTGGTTTTCCTTTTTTTCTTTTGTTTTTCTTGATCCAGAGTATTGTCTTGGGATTGTCTGAATTTGACGACTTGGTTATTCCTGGAGAGAGAGTCAGCTCTAGCGATGTTATCTTTTTCAACCACTCTCAGGCATAGAAGAAAGGTATTGCTGCTGCTAATTTAATTGAATATAAAACTCATTTTTAAATAGAAACATGATTCTATTCTAATGAGAGTAGCTAATAACTAATAAAGAGGTTAATAACAAAGCTCTCAAAACTTTTACATAAATCAGTTAGTATAGTAAGTCTATGATCTAAAAAAGTAGAAGATGTCAATTATTTATTGGCCCCACACCAGAAGATTGGTATCAGTACCTAGTTTATCAACAGGAATCAGGATTCTTTGGAGTAGACGGTCGATCAGATCAGCATCTTGATACTCTTTTAGCCGAGCGGTCTACGCTCCGATTAGGTTATAAGCTTTTATATCTATTCCTAAGCCATTGGAGGACGTAGATGTAGATTACAGAAAAGATAATATTACTACTACAAGATTAAGATAAATAGAGGTTTTAGCCGAAATACAGCCGGGGCTATTTTATCTAAAATAAAAAAAGAGTATACTGTTGGTAGAAGCAGTATTATAGACTGATAAATTAGTAGGCATGAATGTCATATCATCTTTAATATATAAAACCTATTACTACTTCAAATTATACTAGTTGGCTGATATAATATTATTTTTTTATATGAGATCTTACTGTTATTTTATAATAATTTTACTAATTTTGTTTTATTTTCTGAACAGTTTATTTTATAACATTAGACATCATATTCTTATTCTACTTATATCAATAACTTAACAATAGATTGTAATAAAAAATAGATTTAATTATTATTTACTTTTTAGTTTAATACAAGTTTAAGAGCTGTATTTATTACTAGATTCTGTTTTGATATAAGATAAAACTTTTTTATAATTTTAGGAAATTTATTTATTTTTTATATATTTACTTTTCTTATTCCTTGCGGGCGAAGTAGAAATTTAATATGATAAGTTAATATAGTTATTAATATTATTAACTAGTTTTTTAAAATATTTCTTATTATAGATAATAAATTTAAAAAACTAAGAAACTAATATCTTATTTTATAATTGTAGATAGTTTTTTATATCATTTTATAGAAATAATAATATATAATATTGTATTCAAAGCTATTTTGGCTGAACAGCTTGATTTTATTTATTTTTATATATAAGGACTGAAGTAGTAAAATAGTATGATAAACAAACAATCCTCGCAGAGCCTAAGATTTAAATAGATTATCTTAAAATATTAATATTAATTTATTTATCTTTAACACTATTATTATTCTTATAAACAGTGACAGCCGGTTTACTTAGCTATTATATAACTATAGTCTAAAATCTATTATATAGATTTTTTTATAATAATTATAAAAATTAAAAAAGCTAGTTTAAATTCTTATAATTATTTTTTATGGTATAAAATAGATTAATTTGATAATAATATTATTAAAATCTTTCTTCTGTAAACTATTTTTATAAAAAAATAAAATAGTAAAAATTATTTTTTTATTATTTTAGTTTTTTATAATAAAAGTATTCTATTATCTATTTAATATTTCTAAAATAATTAATTCTAATATATAGTCTGTGATCTACTAGACTATTTTTATAATAAAAATATTATATTATTTATTTAATATTTTTATAATAATGAATGCTAATATATAGTCTACAATTTCTTAGACTATTTTTTATGGTAGTATTTAAATAATCTTTCTTATAAAAGACTTAAACAGCTTTTTTATAATAATAATAGTTTTTTTAATACATATAAATAATTATTTTTCAATTTATTTTTTCGACTATCAAGAATACATTAGAATTAGAACTAATAAGACTATTTCTATAAAAATAAGATTCTTTTTTTTTTAAAAAAAACTTTCTTTTATTAAAATAAAGATTTATAATATAACAATATTCATATTCTATTATATTCCAAAAATAATATATATATTTTTTATTCTACTGTACTTCAAGTAGAAATCCTATATCTAAACTACAATGATTTATAAAACAGATACTAAAAATATAATTAAATATTAGAAAATATAAAGTATGAAGTCCCTATGAACCATTTATTGTTGAAGCCATCTGTATAGGATCACTCGAATGATGTTCTCCGAGGCGCTGATAAGATCGAGGATCCCAGTTGATTGATGTGTACGCGGAAGGTTTGGTGGATTCGGAGCCGAGGAGCACTCGGCCAGGTGATAAAGAAGGATATCGCAAGCCCTAACTCTGGGCTGACATCGGGTGGATCCTCCTCCTTGGGTCCAGATGAACAGAATAAAACAACAAAAGTTTGTGCTTGTAGGTATTGTTGTGCTTTCCTAACATACCACCAGGTATTACACCCTCAACGATATACCCAGCCACTGTACACTTGCCCTTGGATTAAGACTCTGGACCCTTTAGACAGTGGTGCTGACTGTTGTTGCTTGGAAAAGCGAGAGTGCGGTTCATTCGGTGCTTTTACCGATTCCAGGCGGCGTTCTGAGGGGCTCTGAACATCGCTCAGAAAAAGTGGGTCTGTGTTTTCATTGATTATAGGCCGAAGTCGCAGCGTGAAGCTAGATGAGGGACTACCTGAAGCTAGAGAACTGTAGTGAGACATATCATCCCACAATATCCGACAGGTATTTAGGCAGCGAGTCTCCTCTCTACGTTCGCCAGCCCGAGCTGGACACGTCTGCTAAGCGGATTCCAGGACACAAAAATCGTACATCCCTTTCGCATTTCATTCTATTCACTTCCAGCCAATTCTTCCACCCACACCGTGGCACTATCACTTTCCGAAACCATGGACTGCAGCACCCTCGTCGCCCGCCTCGCGGTCATCGGAATCCTGATCTCCTCCCTCTGCTGGCTGTATGCAGTCTCCCGAGGCGGCGAACCCGACGTGAAGCACCTTCTATGGTGTCACCTGAGCTTGGCTATTTACCCCGCGTTTGTCTACCGGTGGCCAGCAGCGCATCAACGGCCCGCGACTGCCTAGTGGCACGCTCAATGGCGACGGTGAGAGGACATGGATACCTTATGTTTTGCGGTTATGGAAGGACGGTGATGGAGAACGTGGATAAATGGTGCATTCGGTCATTCATGAGGCTATCTGAGGCACGGCCCGAGAGCCGACGCAGCGCAGCAGTGGACGGTTCAAGCAGGAGACCTTCCGCCAAAAGCAATCAATTCCAGCAGTTACAGACTGCAATCGCCCCCGGGACTCGTCAACTGAATCACGAGGTGGATGCTCTACATAAATCTATGCTCCGGAGTTCGAACACTGCCGACCTCAACCCCATCCCTCAAAAGCTCCCCCAGTAGTGCAGATCATAATCCACCCCGCCAGGCCTCCACAGCGGCTTGGGCGTGTACACCGGAATCGGCGACGCAGCTGTTCATGACCATTGAATTAGCCATCGCTCCAATGCTACCAAACCATCCCTGCAGCCGGGACGAAAGGACTTGGATGAGAGAAAAGGGGAACACTCACTCCCGTAGCCCGTGCTCGGCACCGCCCACGTCGGCGACGCGGGGGCCGTCCACCCCGTCGGCGACGCCGTGATGGTGTACGTGCTCGTGTACGTGGTGGGGGTCTCCCCCGGCGCGAGGGACTTGATCCCGTCGTTGGCGCCGTAGGAATCGTCGCCCGTCCCGAAGACGTTGTTGATTTTGTTGAGTACGGTGGTGCCGGTCTCGGTCCAGACGGTGAAATCCTCGATCGTCACGTTCGTGGCGTAGGTGAGGTCGTTGGCGATGAGGTAGAGCGGCGGGCGGACGGTGCCCTGCGCGACGGAGCCTGGTTGCGATGGGGTTAGTATCGGGGATATGTGTCTACAATTGGGGAAGGTTGTGCAGTGGGAGGTGGCGACGGACCGGAAAAGTTCTTGAAGACCAGGTTGCTCAACGCTACCGCGCCCGTGTCCGGCTCGAAGGTGTTCTGCCAGTACTGGTTGACGCTCAGCCCGTACAGACTGGCCTTGGACCGGAAGTTCTCGAAGGTGACGTTGGTGACGTACCCCGAGCCCCCGGGGTAGGTCTTGATGAAGGCGATGTTGTTGCCTTGGATGATGCTGATGTTTTTGGCGACCTTCCGTTGTTTGTCACTTCGGTCAGTGTGTGATCGACCCACCGAGGAAATGCGGATGACATACAATGTTGGAGATCTCGGCAGAGACGTTCAGGCTGCCAATGGAGATCCCCGAGCCGGCCTGGTTGCAAACCAGGTTCTCGACCAGGGCGTGGTGGGACGGGCTCTTGACGGAGACGCATTCGTCGCGGTTGGTGACCTGCCCATCATGAACATCATCAGCGGGACGAGGTATGGGAACGGGGCCGGATAGCACAACAAACCTCGTTGTCATGGATCCAGTAGTTGGTACCGATAGCATCGATGCCGTCGTAACTGCCCAGGTTCGCCCCGCGGATCGTCAAGTGGTAGACCTCGACGTTCACGCCAAAGTCCAGCACGAAGTGGAACTTAGGGCTGTCGACCAGGATCAAGTCGTGGACGGTGGCATTGATAGCCGAGACGACGCGCACGAGACGGGGGCGATCGGTGCTGCAGTTGGTTATTAGCACCCGGATCTGCACCAATGACTGAGACAGCGGACTCACTTGTTGAGGTTCCGATAGATGTATCCCTGGCCCTGGATTGCACCGAGTCCGTTGGACGAGTAGAACTCGAAATCGACCGCTGCGTCGTGGATCAGCACCTCACCAGGAAAAAAAGGATGGAACCCGACGGGAGGAAGGCATACCATTCACAATCACAAGCACATCTAGCAGGAACTTCTGGTCACCCTCACCGTTGATGGTGGAATTGAGCACGTCCACGCCGGCATAGCCCTGGAGGATCAACGCACGTTCAATGGTCCAGTTGCCCCCGTAGGCGGCGGTGATCAGCCCATCCAGCTGGAACGCCCAGTTGGTCGCGTTGCTGAGCACGACCCCGCGCTCGATCAGGTAGTTCCCCTCGGGGACGATCAGTCGACTGCCCGGGTTGGGGAGCACGCACTCGGTGAAGGTGGTCTCGAGCGCGGTGGCGATGTCGGTGCTGTTGTCGGCGACGGCGCCGTAGTCGAGGATGCTGCACTCGTGGGTCTTGAGGGAGAGGTTCGTGGTAGGACCCACGGGGCCGATCAGCTGGCCGGCTGCCAGGCCGGCGAGGACGAGGGAGGAGAGAAGAAGCATTGTGATGATGCTGGTGCCTGTCTGGGGGTAGGATTCCAGGGGCTCTGGACGCCTTTTTATACCTGAAGCGTGTCTTCAGGAACAGAGGCAGAGGAACATGGCGAGGGACTGCAGAAGATTGACGTGATCGTGGTTTAATTTAAACAATCCTGCAGCTATATTACCTATGGTAGAATGGTTGGACTAGAGGAAATGGTGCCTGCAGCTGAGTGGTCTGCAGGTTTAGGCGAATGAGCTTTACCTGGGCTATCATGACCAAGAAATTTCTCGTTGGATATTACCGTACATGGAATGATGCCAATGAGGGCAAAGCAATTGTATTCTTGTGTTCTACCGATCACACCACAGACTAGACCCTGTTTGCACAGCCCACCTATACACACTACTGCTGCTATTCACGATCACGCCTTGCCCTTCTCCTCCGCAAGCGCCTCCTTCCTGGTCTTGGACCTGGGATCGAAATACGGGGTCTCGGCCTGCGGCGCAACCCGCAGCCCATGCCGCAGATGGGGGACTATCAGTTGCAGAAGATTAGCATTCTCGTCCACTCACCCATCTAGAAGATTCTCCACGCGATAGCAGCAATAGCAGGATGACTCACAGTAGTCGAAAATCCCCGTATGAAACGTGGCGCGATTGTCCCAGATGGCCACCGCGTTCTTGGTCCACTTCCAGCGCACCTGGAACTCGTACCCCTCCGCCACGGTGCGATAGAGGTTATCCAGGATGCCATCGCCGATGCGCTTCTCCAGGCCGACGATCTCCTTGGTGAAGTTCTCGTTGACGTACAGCGTCTTCCAGCCGGTTACTGGATGCGTGCGGACGACGGGGTGCTGGCGTTGACCCACGAATCAGCCATTGGACAGTACGTTTGTTACCTAGAGCTCCGGAGAATAACGACTGAAACACTCACATTAGTCTCGATAGGATCCCTCCGGAGACAGCCACTCGTCCGCAGGGCCTTCTCCGCCTGCTCCAGCCCGCTGTGCTTGGCCTCGAGCGTCTCCAGGAAGGCGCGCAGCTTGGGCGACAGAGCTGTCACGCTCACCAGTTAGCATCCCCTCAGTCCTTTATCCCTGCACCTCACCATCCATTTCCCACTTTACGGACGAGAGGAAAACTCACATTCGTATAAAGCATACCCACTCGCCCAGATCGTATCGCCACCCGTCTCCTCCCCGCCCGGCCCCGCCCTGGGGAGGGTATCCATCTTCAACATCGTCAACCCGGGCGGCTGCAGCTCGTAACTGACATCGGAATGCCAGATCTGATGGCTCCGGCCGTTGACCGCCGTCTCATCCTTGTGGATCGGGTGCACCCACGGCAGGTCCGGGATGATGCCGGCCATCTGGTGGATATGCAGCGCCCCGAAATACGCCCCGAAGGCGATCTGCTCGTGCACGTCCATGCTCTGATCGCGGAAGAAGACGACGCCGCGCTCCGCGACCAGCCGCGCCAGGTCGTTCTTCTGCACGTCCGTCAGCTGCGTGAGCTGGAGGCCGGTGAGCTCGGTCCCGATCTCCGGGGTCAGGTGGATGATCTCCGTCGCGGCGGAGAGGAGGTCCTGCTTGTTCGGGGAGGAGGAGAGGCCGCGGTCGGTGAAGGGTTGGATGCTCAGATTGGGGAGCTTGAAGGGCGTGTAGTTGGGGTATTGCAGGCCGGCGGCGCGCACCGAGTCCAGCGGCGAGACCCCGCGCGGAGTGCGGTATTCCGGGTGTGGCAGGTTGGGGGGTCGCGAGGGGAGGACTAGGTCCTTTTGCTCGGAAGGTTGGATGGAGCCCATTTTGGTCGGTGGTTTTTGGGGGAAATGGGGATGAGAGAGAGGGGTAGATCGCCAAGTGCGAGGGGGAAAAAGTTCAGACAGCTACGGCTGGGCTGTTTGTTGCTGACGGCATCACTTAGGGCTTTATAGGTGGGAAAAGACGTGATCGAGGGGCAGTCGGTGGTCATCTTCCCGGGGTTCGGCATCGTGCAATTAATCTAAAGTACACGATAGTGCTTATTGAATGGGTCAGGCAATTCGCAGTAATAGCCGAGATGCTAAGCAGGGGTCCAGGAAATGGAGTCCTGTTGGTGGACTTATCTCCGTCACGTCATTCGGCCTCGGTGTGAGGCTATACTTGCAATCTACTGGTACTTTATCTACTAGCTGATACCAATAGCAGTATACTACCGTTCCCTTTCGGCCCAAACCGACTTGGCGCGTCCTGTAAATCATAAAGCAAACCAGAGCGTGACCGAGCATGAGAAGCATCGAAAGATCCCTTCTATCAGACCGTGGCGGAAGGGGAGAGTTCTTAATATGCCGGCGTAAATGATGGTGAGCTGTCATCGTGCTGCAAAAGCTAATCCTCTTCCAACCTAAATTGACCGGCAGGATTTTGAAGGACATCACTTGGAGTGGCCTTGGATTAGGAGGATTAAGATGAAAGATGAAGAGATGAGAGAGCATAAACACTGGAGGCCCAATCACTGACTTTCCCACCATACTATAAACATTAAATTGACCCGAGGCAGCAAATCTGGGTCCTAAGCTGGTGACATGGCTAGAACACGTTCAGAGCAATGTCAAGGACAGGCAATCATCTATCCTCGGCCTCAGTCCTCTGGCCTGTACATTTCCTACAATAATCCAACCCTCCTTCCACCACTGAAAATCCCCAAAAACGCACACCACACCACGCAAACAACCTCAGACCACTTCCGGATACCACACTCCTTCCCTAGCTATCGAAGAAAAAGTCCAATCGCTTATTCCCCTCGTCCTTCGTATTCTCCAGGTAATCCGCCTTCTGCTCGTCCGTCATCGCCGCCCACTTGTCCTGCTTCCACTGGTTGCGCTTGGCGTAGTACACCTTCGCCAACACGTACACGGCAATCGTCGCGACGTTGATGGCGATGAGCTGGCCGTCGCCGCGGTGGTAGTACGGCTTATCGTCGTCGCGATAGATGTTCGACGAGGCGATGCCGGACAGCTGGATGGTGATGTTGTACAGGGCGGCACTGACGGCGCGGGTGCGCACGGCGTTGCTGAGGCGCGAGCACCAGCCGACATGGGCGGCGTGGGGCGAGGGCCAGCCCAGCAGCACGAAGGTGACGGCGTAGAGGCCCCAGTGGGACAGCACGCTGGCGCTGCGGTACAGCACGATGAGCAGCGGCAGCGACCAGAGCTGGGTCAGGATGCCCACGTAGCAGATCTGGTGCCAGCGCTCGGAGAGCTCCGTCACCAGCAGGAGATTGATCGCCGAGAAGACGGTGACCGGGATGCCGAGCAGCGTGGTGTGGAAGGTCGAGAAGCCGATCGCCTTGAGCGACAGGCTGAGGTAGGACTTGGGCGGCGAGGTCGGGATCTCGAACAGGATCCCGATCACGTAGATCGGCCACAGGTCGTAGTCCTTCAGACTCTTCCACAGCATCCCCAGCGTCAGCGCCTCGCGGTTGTGCATGTCCCCCTTGGACGGGTCGTCGCGCAGCACCCGGTTCACGATGATCTTCTCCTCGCGCTCGGTGAAGTACCCGCGCGGGTTCCACCAGGTCTGGGTCTGTGTGGGGCCCGGCACGAGGAAGAGGAAGCTGAGGAAGCCGATCACGATACTGATTAGGGCCTCGATCAGGAACAGCCACCGCCAGCCCTCGCGGCCGTCGACGCCGCGCATGTGCAGGACGCCGTAGGCGATGAACGAGGCGATCACGCCGGAGATGGAGTCGACGAACCAGAAGAATGCCAGGCGGATCGGCATCTCCCGCTTCGTGTAGAAGTACGACAGGTAAAGGATGGCGTCCGGGATGAATCCGCCCATGAACAGGCCGATGAAGAAGCGGCAGGCGAAGAAGCCCGCCCGGTTGTGCATGAAGAACTGCCCGCCCGAGGCCAGACTCCAGAGGATGATCTGCACGGGGATCCAGCGGTCGGGCCCCAGTCGCTTGCCGATCATCTGGGACGGGATCTCCGCGATCAGGAAGCCGATGCGATACATGTTCTGGGCGTTGTTGTAGTCGTTGGTGTTGATGCCGAGGTCGGGGAGGAGGTTGTCCGCCGAGGCATTGCTCAGGTTCCCGCGATCCAGGTTCAGTCCAAAGAACATGACAAAGATCCAGAGGAGAATGGTCAGGTCGGTCTTGCGCCGGACGGCTCGCTCCTCGCGATAGGTCCATCGCTCCGACGGGTCGAATCGATGCAAGTTCTCGTAGTCCGCATGGGGCTGGTAGAAACGGGCCAGGTTCGGGTCGTCGAAGACGCTCCGCGTGGTCGCGACGGCATCCAGATCGATCGTCTTCTTCTTGCGGGCCGAGAAGAAGGCGAAGAGCGACCGGGATTGAGGCTCATCGTCGGGCTCGGCCAGCGACGATGACTTGTCCTTGGTGTCTCCGGCCGGGCTGTCGATGCTGGTGGCCTGGACATCTTCCAAAGGATGTTTGCCATCGAGTGCCGATGTCTGATAGGAGATCGACATTCTTGCTTAGCGATGCGGTGATGTCCAGCTAGCTCTCTGAACCAAGGAGACGCACCTGGATTTCGACTTATCGTGGCGACGGTGCGCTTCATATACTCCACTTTGGCATATGCAAGGGTGGCAGTATGCAACTGAAGGTGCAAACGAGCGTATGCGTGCGTGCTTCAAGGAAGCGATGGTGCAAGAGCGTGGTGTCCAGCTCTTGTACAGGTCCATACTAGTGGCTTTGAAGTGGATGGCGAATTGTAGGACCGTCTAATCTGTCAGATATGATAGCAATATAGCAAGCCAATCATCTCGTGTGGTAATTAACCGCGACTCGATTGATTCCCTCAGGTCAAGCTCACGGCTGTTCGCCTCGGAAATGTGCTTGGGCCACGCCATGACTTGCCCAGCATGCTAAGGCGAAGAAAACAACGCCAACTCGCTAACAAGAGATCAGAAGCCGCTCGGATTACAGGCTAGATGTCAGAAGTGATAAAAGTAAACGTTAGCCGAAGGGATGGCAGGGGGCAGGAGGAGGAGCAAGAGGAAGAGGAGTGCGGGATGTTGTCATGTCAGGGTTGGCTTGCACCATTTGCTGCCGGATTGTGTTATCGCCTTCCACCTCCATCCGAAGAACACCAGCAAGACGCCACCACACAGGCTCAGATAATAGTTCATCAGTGCCTCACCGAGATTCATCTATTTTCCTGTCGCTGATTCATGGAATATTATGATCCATCTAGTTCAGCGAACTGTATTGAGGCTCCATAGTATTAGCGAGGATGGTGTGAGAAGTCCAGCATCCTTGTAGCTTTCACAGGATCAATCACGCCTTTCCTGCAGGATGCTGCGGGGCAAGTAGACTTCTACATCAACGATGAGATTCTTGCGGTGGGTAAAGTTAGTCATAACAAGTAGACTGATCACTTGAATGAGAGAAATACTCTCCCTAGGAGGAATGAGGATACTTACCACTAGGGGTCTGAATCTGGAGCCATTCACATGCTTGGTAAACACAAGTCACCATTAACAGGTGTGGGCATGTTAGCTATAACAGAATAGCAACAAAAAGCCTACCTAGTCATATAGATAGTGGTGTTGTTCATTTTCTCGGTGGAAAGAAAAGGGACCGCTCAAGCAATCCCCCCTACCAAGTCCCATCACATGACTATAAGCATGTATGTAGAGCTAGGTAGTAGGGCTGACAGCCGTCTCAAGAAACTTCTGATCTGACTCCCGATTAGACCAGGGCATTCAGGGATTTGTTCCTGGGCTGCATCTGTCGGCTACTGTACAACATCGGCACTAGGATCCTACTCATACATACTGAATAGCCCATGCATGTCAAGGGACACCCGTCCTACATGGAACCCACTCGGGCGAAACCAATAGAATCCAGGGTGTTCCAACTTCCACGTGGCAAACGGGCCGACAATGTTTCAACTCCTAGTACGGTTTTTCGAGATCCCCAGCATGGACAAATAACCTTGGATTACCGGATCAGACCCAGATCACAAGCTTCATTCTTGAAAGCAAAGGCAGCCTACACCAATTAAATAAAAGTAAGATCGCTCTATATTCATGTGATTTTAGACCGGGCTAACTCGTCTGTGAGTACCGAGGCTTGAGATGATGTTAACGCAGCCAGCGCATTGCCTAACCCAGCCGCATAGTACCGTGTACCATGATATCAGCACATTAAATCAGCTGCCCGTCAACAAAGTCCACCACCTGCACCCGCTCCAGATACTGCAAGACATCCTTCACCAGGGCAATGTGCACCGGGTCCGTCTTGGCGAAGTAATCGCGATCGCTGGCGTTCTCGAACACGGAGACGAACGCATGGCTGATGCCATTCTGCCAGCAAAAGGTCAGCTGCTATGGCTCACCACACCAAAGACACCACTGGGCACCTTACCTGCAACCCCTCGATGGAGACATCCACACCGCCCTTCATGCTGACGATGTACGGCTTGCCGGTCTCGGGGTGAATGCAGGAGTCCTTAAGACCCTTGATCCGACTAGCGACCTGGAAGGTATTGTCAGCCGGCATTTCCGCTTTGCCGCCCGCTCCAACAACGCACATTCTCTTTGATGTCCGAACCAACATCGGGCTTGAATTGAAGCAAAACAATGTGAGAGATCTGCATGATGCCCAATGTTCTAATGTTCCTTGACAAAGCAAACTTTACTCGACATCCGACGGGGAGAGACGAAACTGTGTCTTATACGACACCCTTAACAGTGCTGCTTAGAAATCCGTTCCGCAACCTACATCATGGCCCAACTCGTCAGACCCATCCGAACCAGCAAGTTGGAAGATTCTAGCGGGATCGGCAGGAGA